TGGGAGTGTATGTATATATTTGACCTTAGAAGTACAGTTTTAATATTGTGTAGAAGAAAGGTGCACCTAATTCTTGATATTTAATAACATTTACTTTATTTTGACTATACTTCCACTCTGGAAACGTTGCAGTTTGACTAAATTATTTGGAAAAACAAGATATTTCTGTGAAGCGTTTCTAAACCTCTTACAGTAACTGTAAATTACATTGTAACAAACCTACAAGGCTGCAATCTGAGTCAAATCTTCATCTCAGCCTCTGAAAATGTTTCAGAATGACTCCGCGAGCGAAGAGGCTGCTTCCACTGAGCATGTGGACGCACAGCCAGGTTTGCTAACGCCACATCAGACCATCTGTGAAGCTATTTGAGTCAGGAGTTACACACTGGTGACTGACGCAGCCAAATGTGTATATATCATTCTGTCTCGGCAGTCCTGCTGCAACAATTTACCACAACCACAAGCAAAGAACAGAGCTACACGTTTCCCCCCACAGAAACGGTAAACGCAGACGTCTTTCTTCACTCGCTTGGCATGTTTGCCATTTTCAGGTTGGATCACACGCCTTAATGCAATCAGGAAGATGTGGAGGACATTATTTTCATCACCTACAGTTAATTTTGAATCGACTCTAAAGATGTTGGAGTATTCTCAAATCTTAATCTTGGCACAAAAATAAGAAAAAGTATTTTTGTACACATGGAAGAATCTCTGTATCATGTTTGAGTCAAATTATGTTTTGTCCCATTCTGGATTATAAAAAGTATGTAATTTAATTCTAATTGGCAGAACAAATCTGCTCTCCATGTCACTGATCCTCGGCAACATCGACAACAAAATCCAAACTAAACCTGGAGAAGAGTGTGAATATTGTTTAAGAAAACCCAAACTCAAGGTTTTCACCCAGAGCTGTACATTTCCATACAGTTTTAGAAATACCTCAGACTAACAAAACATCCTCCTGATGTTAACATGTTATAAATGTTTGAACATCTCTAAATCCCTGAAAGTTGAATATTGTTGCTGTTTCAGGGTGAGGATGCTCATGACTTTGCCTGCTCTTTGGAAGAAACCCATCCAGCAGGTGAACTCTTCATCAGTTGGAAAAGAAAAACAAACAAACAAAAAAAAACGTGTTTCCTACAGCATCTGTTGTGCTGCTTGGATTATAATTTTGCTACAAGTTTTTCTTTGGTTTGCAGATTCAGAGCAAACCTCTGATGAAAAGATAAGTGCAGCAGATTGCCAGAGCCATGTGATAGCAGAGGAAATGACACTTTCTATCTCTGTGAGTGTCAACATCATGTGTGAAAAGAGAATTTTAACTTTTCAGTTCAGTGCTGACTAATCAGTGTTAAGTGTTGTAATTAACTTGTTTTTTGTTTTTTAAAGGTTGCTGAAGGAGATGTAGATCATGTTTGTGACAGAACTGAGCCAGCCGAAGAGTCGGATGAGGTGAAACATTCTGCTGCTGCGCAAAATGAACTATTTACAGAAGACGCCTTTCAAAAACATTCTTGAACAGTTTTGCTGCATTTCAGCTGCAAACGTCAATGTTTATCAGAGGAGTTTAGTGAGAGATCTGTGGAATGTAGCAGAAAAAGTTTCTGGGTTTTTTTTTTTTTTTTGATAGATAAAAATCTGCTTCATCTGTTGGCCTCATTCTTCCTATTTCACAATAACACACTTTGCATTAGTCTAGAATCTATTGATAACTTCAATGTGGCAAAATGTGGAAATATTCAACAAAAATGAACACTTTTGAAGGCACCATTTTTGATTGTTCATATTTAAGATATTGAATTATTGTTTGATTTTCTGCCTTTCTTTTTCTTTTTTTTGTTTTTTTTTTGTTCTTGTTTTGAAACAATAGGTCCACGAAGTCTCAGCGGGTGAGTAATAATTCAGATCCACCTAAGCAACATCAGATTAATCAACATTTCTTAAAAGAAGCAGCTATATTAGCGAGTTAACATTTTCGTTGACATTTTCTTTATGCACTGAAATTTACTAATGGAAGAAAATTTGTGCTGCAGACATACAAATACATTCTAATTTCTATTGGGAACACTTGAGTGATAATTTCTCTCAAATATAAATCAACTTTGGCCACATTGCAACCCCACTGAATCCGAAGTTTCAAATCTCTGCCTGGATATTTTTGCTTATTTTAATTGCACATTTAATTTTTCTTTAAATGTCCTGTGAGTAAATATATATTTGCCCATTTATCCATAAGAATATCTAGCAGTTACTTTCGTAATTTTCCGTAATTTCACTCCCTGCTGCTGCGGGGTCGAAATTACCGTAATAACCCAATATGGGCTGGAATGCGCAACATCTCCCTTTCAGAAACCGTTGGAATTTTTCAGATGGCGCTGCAAATTTGGCTGTGTCGTCGCCGGCACTTTCGTTAATGACCGGTTTTGCTAAGCAGCCTGGAAATGGAAGCAGTTTGATTTGAGGATAAGTTTGGAAAGCAATTTGCTTCCCTCCATTCCTTCTTTCTGCACAGAAAGTGTGTCAGGCATCATGGTGGCAGTAGCAGATTTTCCCCAGCACGTTGAGGTGCCGTGCACTCCAGGCCCTGACAAGGTATCGGTTAGATTTTCAGTCCGTTGCTTCATCTGAGTTGTGATCCCATAAGCAGCTCACATGACCCTGTCTTTCAGGACAACTCTCCACCAGAAGATGAGACCGTTCCTGTTAACGGTAATGAACTTCCTGCTTTTCTTCTTTACGTCTTAAACGTGAACGTTGAGCACATTTTTGACACCTTTCCTCATCCATTTCTCTACTTTTCGCTGTTCTGTTTTGCCAGCTGATGGGGAGTTACAAACCTACAGAGATGTGGTAATGTATATCAGGGTTTTTTCCCTCTTAATTATGCTACGTGTTCTTTCATCTGAGTAAATCCCGTTCGTGACACCATTTCAGAGGAACATGGATGAAGAGTTGACGTGTTCGGTCAGCGAGAGCTGTTTGGCAGACGTCTCACAAGGTATCAGACACCTCAATCAAACTTCTTTAATAAAAGTTTGAAGCTCACACTTTATTATAGAGTATCTCTTCAGTTTAATAAATAAACAACGCTTTCCGTCAGACTCGGAGCAAGATCCTGATACGGAAACGGACTGCAAGTCTGAGGAAACGGCTCCACTGCTGAGCGAGGTGAACTGAGAAAAGATGACAGAAACGCTCAAATCTCTGTTTTACTGACAGTGTCTTTAAGTTTCATAGAACTGTTAAGGAGTTTGCTTTTTACAGAGTTCCTGCTGTATCAGCCAGCTGAAGGCTAGTGTAGCTAAATGTAATAGAAATAAATGTCTGTGACTCTACCGGAACAGATTCAGCTGGAAATTACAGTTAGATGAGATAATTATGTTCAAACACTTGGCTGTTTCTACAAATTAACAAGAGCTGTCTGTTGGTGTTTTTATTTTCACAACTGGACTTTTTTTTTCTTCTTGTTCTAGGAGTTTGATGACAGTGAGCTCACAGAGGAATCTCTGTCTGCTGAGGACAGTTTCGGTAAGCAGAGTTCCCCGACAGTTATTCATGTCTGTGGAAAGGAAAATTCACCAGATTTTTTGTTTTTCCACAAGGACAACTTGACTAATGTATGACTGCATATGAGGGCTTTTGGAAAAGAAAAAAAAAAGAGAAATCAAATTTCCGCTGAAAAATTTAGAGCTTAATCTCAGAAATTTTCTAGAAAAAATTGAAATTTCTGATATTCAAAAGTTTAAAATATTTGAGTTTTTGTTTAGCAAATTTTTTACTTTTCATACTCAAATCTTTTTATTTTAGAACTCAAAATTTACTCATTTGTTTTTCTGTGTAATGGCCCTGTCATGTCCTGCATATGTCACTTCACTAGGACGGTTATTCAATACTTTTACCCAATACTTTACTCTCGAGTCATTTCTTAGATGGCTACTTCTTACTTTTTGTTTAAAAATATGTTGAAGTAGTGATGATGTTTCTCTAACCACCACTGGCAACAACAGTATTTAATTATTTAAAAAAGCTTATGGAATTAAAAACTACTTCATAAGTGGAAAATACATAAATTTGTACTAATACCAGAGTTTATTATATTTGTGTTCAGAATAGTGGTCTAATGTCAAACTACATCATTCACTGTTTTCAATGGATCATATTTCTACATGGCAAACCATTTACCAGTAGTAGAGGAATAGAAATCTAACATTTTTTAATTCATACAATTAATGAGTAGTTTGCAAATCTTTCTTTATGATTTGAAAAGAATGCACAATAATAAAAGCTGTTGTACAGTTCAAGAACTTCACTCGGCACAACTGCAGGTCCTTAAAGTCCTAAATGTACCTGCGATTTCATTTCATTTTGTTGGGAGAATCTCCTTATCAGTTCACAATCACCATGTTTTGCTTTCTTCTAGAGGCCCAGCTGTCAAAGATAACTCACCTCTGTCTGATCGTGAAGGACGGAGCTGCTGATTATCTTCCCGAGCAGCAACCGGAGGAATAACAGCCTTCCCTTTTTTGGTTTACTTTGTGGTCTCAGATTTGAAGTTAATCAGCTACTTAGTTCTGCTCTGAATCAAATGGGTACAGATCAGTTAGCTTGTCTTGATTTCTTTTTATATACATATATATACATATTTGACTCAGCAGGATCTCCTGTTTTTCATTGTTCTGAGGGGGAAAAAAAGTTTATCTGTAGGAATTTGTTCGTGTTTTTTGTGATTCTAATCGGAGCACTGTTGTTGCAGGTGAATTATTTGTAAAAGTTTCAGTATTTTTTTCTTGATTCTAATTATTTTGTTACACATCTAAACTACTTGTAGCTGTTGGTTTGTGGAGTGGAAACAATTTCTTTATTTGTTGTGAACACATGCATGCTTTGAAACCATTTTTATTTTTGTGTGTTGACCCAATAAATATTCCAGGTCAGTATTAATGAGTGATTTTCCATCCTTACTTCCCTAAAACCAAAGAAAAAAAACACAACACTGATTATTTGATACAAGTTTATTTAAAACACGTAGATTATAGACAGTATGCGATTAAACATTGTACGTGCTATTCACCCATGAGGAATCGTACTGAGCTGCAGCACATAGGATCTTACTGTAGGCGTTAGTGTTGAAAAAATTAGGCCTTTTTATTTGGCTGAACTACTAATTAAAACCAGTTTGCATCAGATTATTATAGTTTAGGACAAAAATCTAAGTCGAGATCCAAACAAATTGCTTAAAATACTTGGTTTTTACTGAACAAATATGAACCTGGAAGCTAAAAAAAGATTTCACCAACAGTAAAAGGAAGTCCTTTGTACATCAAGGCCTCTTGATACAATCAGCGGTACACTTGGTGATTTGTCCTGCCTGCTTATGAGGTAGACTGGCTTTTCTCTCCGACGCATTCTCCTCATTCAGAGGAACCGGCTTTAGCTGGGAGAGATTCTGGAGCACGAGACGCCCATCAGGGTGTTCACATAGAAGACTGGAGCAGAATTACGTTGGTTCCTGGGATGAGGTTTTTGTCGTGTCCGTCAATCAAAGGGTCCCACTGATTGAAATCCTTCTCCAGATCTACAAAATATGAAAAACATCCAGATGAGTAAAGTTAAGTCGGCCTCATGAATGTCTCAAATTCATGAAAATAAAAAACTATTATGCTTCCTCAAACAGGTTTTGCCCCAAATCATTCTTAGATGATGAGATTTCAGTCTGATCAGTTCAACTTGGAATGATCAAGGTGTTTTAGGGGTTCTTGTTGCATCCAAATAATTTGCTGCTGGCCACACCCCCGACTCAACGTTTACACTTCCATGTGAAAATGGCTGCTTAACAGATGCACAACTTTACAACCGTCCATCTTTAACCCTGAATCGTATCCAGACGCAGAAGTAGTGAAGCCTCCTGCGCAAACAAGATTACTGCAAGTGGTTTCTGGATGGTAAGTCAACAGCAGAACACTTGTATTTTCCAGCAGCCATTGTACAGCACATACAGTGGTAAAACCAGCTGACCAAATGTGCCGGGGCTCCACTTGGGTTGCTTGATGAGGCACATTGCCTGTGATTGTGACTAAACATTTGGGTGGTTTTTGAAACCAACTTTCCAGATAGCAGAAAACATGAATTTATTGCTAAAAAAAAATGTCTTGGTGTTTGTTTTCCTTTTTTTTTTCTTTTGTAGGACTTTTTTTTTTTGTAGGACTTTCAGTTAAGCAAAGGTTTGTCATGTTTTAATTTATGCTTCACTTGGCAAAGAGTTGTGTTATTTATTGAAACAAATTTTAAAAGAAAAAAAAGCTTTTGCTAGCTAGCTTGTATCAAGTCTCATGGATAAGTTTAAATTTACCAGCTGGCTCGTCTCTGTTGCCAACCCATATGAGGCAAGGCGACTAAGAAGACATTGACTACAGGGTTAAGATTGTAAAGACCCATATCGTTACCTTCCTGAACTACTGTAATAGCATAAGTTTTAGTTTTTTCTTTTGGCCTATGTCACTTGGCACAAAATGACTTGGGCCATTATATTAAGAAGGTGACAATATGCAGTACAAGAAGCATGAAGCTGGTATCAAGAGCCACAATCAGATCCCAGAAATTTGAGTTACTGCTGCACAATTCCCCACCACCTCCTATATCTACAGTTTTTTCTGTCTTAAATTTCATTGAAGGTGGAAATAAAAAGTCTTAAATTTGACCCGCTGATGTTCTGGAGACATTGAACTGAGGCTTTTAGCTGGACCAGGTGGGGGTTTTCTTACGAAGATGGCGTTGCAGAAAGGCCAGAGTTGCTTTATTGGAGAGGTCTATGGCTAGCTCCGGGTCGATCTCCCCTTTCAGCTTCATCAGCTTCCCGATCCAGTTCCCGGTCAGGAAGGTGAAGTCTGGAAAGCTCTGGTGAACCGTGCCTCTGTTGGAATATGAGAGCATTAACGACCGGTTTATTATATCACTACGACTTGTGGGTCCTCCCAGTACCTGATGGTGATCATTTTCCTGTCTATGACAGTGCAATCCAACTTCTTCATGCGGCTGATGTTTCCCGCCCACTGGAACTTCTCGGAGTTGATGAAGAAAATGGGCTGCTTGACCCGAGGAAAGATCTCGTCATCTAAAGGGACCATCCAGGCGTCCAGAGCTACGCCACACCTGATTGGAAGGCAGAGTTTTAAAGCTTGCGGCAATATTTTAACCACAAACTTCAGTGTTTTTATTGGACTTTCTGATGAACCAACACAGCAGAAGTGCTCAAGACAAAAAGTGTATGCAGTATTCAACAAATCAGGAAAATTTGCTGTGCATCCCCAGTGAGTCAATACATTATAAAACCAGCTTTCCGTAACTAGAAACTGACATTTTTGCCCATTCTTTTGCATAATAGTTGCAGCTCAATCAGATTAAACAAAATTGTCAACAGTTTTTCAAATTTTACCGCATATTCCTAACTGGATTTAGGTTCAGACTTTAACCAGACCAATAACACATGGACATGCTTTAATCTAACATTATGCTCTGCATGTTTAAGATCGTCGTCTTGCTGTAAAGTGAACCATCACCCCAGTCTCCAACCTTTTGCAGCCTCTAGCATCTTTCCCAGCTTCACTGAACCTGCTGCAGAAGGTATGTAAGATGAAAAAATGAAGAGATGCTGCTGCTTCTAAAGAGTACGGTAATGTAAAATATTGTGTGACTTTCTGGAATGGGTGTGTCGTAAAGAGAGAACATACTTGAACTTAACCTCCTTGCACAGGGATTCAATAACGGTTGCGCCGCCAAAGGAATGTCCAATCACTGCTGTCCTGCACAGGTCCATGGAATTCTGGTGCCACAGAGACGAGAGGAAGTCATTTAAAATTTATTTTTTCCATTACATATGAATTCATGTGAGTGATGATGTTATAGCTGCTGCCTTTATTGTAGATCTGACACCAGAAGGTGGCTTATTTTGGAAGATATCCCACAAAATTACCAACTTTGCTAACTTTCTAAGCTAACACTATTATCAGAGCAGCAGCTATCCAGGATGCCCCTTTAAATGAAGTTGCTTTAACATGCAGCTACACTGCAAAAGATACAGCAAGATCCAATATTTCATCTGCTAGAATATACGCATCTCTTTCTGTTGCCATAGCTACATTAGCATTACCTCCAGCGTTGTGTAGTCGAACGGCGTCTGCAGGACGTTCTGCACTGCTACTCCAGAGTTCATCTGGGTGAGTTTATCCAGAGCCAGGATGCATTCGTCGGCTCGTTGCTTCACCTGGAAACGGGAACAAAATGGGATCGGATCAAATTAAATAAGTATCATAGAGCTTCATGCTCCTACTTTGTTGCATTATAACCGCACACCTCTCTCTGTGTTTCCCATCTTAAATAGTGTTAAAGTGTGAAGTGAGAGCAAAATGCTACGTGGTTTTCAGAATTCTCAGGCAATAAAAATCCTTAAAGTGTTCATTTGTATTTAAACACTCCGATTCTAGTTGGTAGAACCACTATTTCTGCCAAATCTGTTTTTCTCCCAGACTCAAGTTTTTATCCTTTTGTCTTTTACAGGATGTCCTTAAAAAGTCTAAAATTATTTTTTTTAAAAGTATGTTGGCCTTTAAGATGTCAATCACAGGCAGGGGTGGGCATTTATTGTTTCGTTTATCTTAAGAATTCTGATTTATTCTTGTTGCTATAAATTCCAATTAATGCTTAAAATCGATCAAACATGCCCTTATTGTCACAGCTGATTGTTTTATTTCCTCCACTGTTTGACCAATGAATTTGAAAATACAGTTGCCGTGTTCAGCTTAGTGACACAAATCACACTTCTTCATGTGACTGGTGTCCTAAAGAGGCACATGACAAACGGGAATGTTTTTCAAGCTATATTTGTTTTTGTTGGGCTATAATTTCCCAACAAATGACTGACGCACAGTCATACATACAGACTTTATTACATCAAGTCAGACATAACAAATAGTTCATAGTCATTTTATCGTTATTACAATAGTAACGCAAAATATTGTGATAAAACTTGAAGACCATATCACCAGGATTATATAATTTATTTCCTTTTATGTCCTGTATTTATTTATTTATTTTTTCTCGTGCGACGTTTCTGTCAGGCCAAGATTTGAGTCACACTCATACATCTTTATTGATTCTTTGACTCGATGCAGTCAAGGCTACTGCTAACTAACTGCTAACATGCTTCCACTAGCTAACTAACTAGCTTTTTTTTTGGTGGGGGGGGGGGTTGCGTCTATGGTGGATAAATTATGCAAATTTTTCACCAGTTGGTTGGATGACTTTCATACGTTTCCGTGCAGAAATAGGTCTTAAATTCCAATGTTATTGTTGATGATGGTCTTAAAAAGTCTTAAATTTGAGTTTGTGAAACCTGTAGAAACCCTAATTTAAACAGAGCTAAAATTCAAAGGAAATGAATACTTCTGGAAATGCACATTTATGTTGGGTGGGCCGGTTACCTAGAAAAGAAAAGAGAGAGAGAGATAGAGAAAGGATGTGGTTATTTCACTGTAAAGCCAGCCTTCTGTGTCGAAAATTGAGAAGTGATGAAATCCATGAGTGGCCAGCCCTCTCTGCATGACTTGGCAGATCTCAACTGACCTGCTTGTTCCTCAGGGGGAACTCGCTCTCGCCGTGCTTCAGAGCTCTGTAGTACAGCCACTCCTTCAGCAGGTTGTCTCGATCCGAGGCTGATGGCGACATGGGCCAGCTCTCCTGCGTCGGCCCGGGTTCCGTCTTCTCGTGGAAGTAAAAGGTAGCCGAGGCCGACTCGTCTCTGCCGGGAGGGGAAACGCAAAATAGACATTGAGGGGGGAGGAAAAAAAAGAAGCAGAAAATGAGACCGTTGAGGGTGTTTCTGAAAAAACGGACCTCGCTGTTAAACAGCAACATCAGAGGTTTCAATATGAACTGCTGTAACACAGACTGCTACAGGAGACGCTTCTTCCTAACAGCCATTAGCATCTACAATAACTATATTTAATTCTAACAAGTCTCAGAAAAGAGGGTTTTATGAGATGGTGACATTCAGCACAATCCTATAATTGTGCTGAATAAGCAGAAGTTTATCTGCTTCTTAAGAAGCAGATACATAAACTTCCTTTATGGGACTAGAAAAACAGTCTTGGTTTCAGGTCCGTCTACTGAAACATCCTGTTTTGAGGTGAATTAAAAAGCAAATCTGTCTTGACATCTGCACATATCTACGCGAGGCTTGGCCCTCGTGTTCAGGCTCGTTCGTGAGCGTCATTCTCTCCTCCGTCTTGAGGGTTTCTGTCGCAATTGGAGGCGGAGCGAGGCGGCTGCTGGCTGAATCACCGGAGCCGCGTCGCAGATTTGTGGCAAAGCGAGTCCGCTGACGACAGGCCCACGTGTTGGCTACGCGGCTCCTGCCTTCAACCCGGCCGCGGCCGGCCCGGCTCCCTCACAGAGCAGCCGAGGCCATTATGCTCTCCTCCATACGGTCCCCTTGTCTCTATACTGAAAAGAAAATGTGATGAGCTGGTCCGTACCATTGTCTGCGCACCCTTTCCACTCCGACTCCACGGACAAACAGCAGAGGAGGGCCGGCCCTCTCTGCTGCATTTGGCTGATGGTCAGACAGAATTTCTTCAAAATGACAAAATCTAGGTTTGTATTTCTGGGCTCCGTGTCATCAGGCACTCGTGATTGGTGATAGGCTTTGGTTTTACAGGGTAGCAACAAAAAAAATGTCAATTAAAAATGGAAAAACGTGTGCTGTGACAAATGAATTGTCTCCTTTTAAAACCAGTTGAATATATCAAGAAAACTCAGTGAGTACAAAAGGTATGGTTGTGTTTGAGTCTTTATCAGTGAAGGATTTTTGCCATAGTTGCCTTTGCAGAATTATTTTTAATTTAGCCACATTTATGGGTTTTTGAACATGCAGATGCCTTTTTTCCCCCCTTCAGCCAATCAGAGGTGGAATTGCTTCTGATCAGGGTCCTATAGCAACGCTTCGATTGTAGTTTTCTGGCCGGTCACCCATCTTAAAAAAATCTGACCTTCCAATTCCCATTTATTTATTTTTCCCACAAAAAAGTCACTGATATAGTAACAAAGTCGCCACGTTGGCAACAGTGGGGTGACTATTTCATGTTTTTTATTTATAGATATTTTGTAAATGTATTAATTGGGTTTTACATTTATGTCTTGATTGATCAACTTTCATCAAGACAGGACTTTGGCTCTTGGAGGAGCCACTGCTAAAATAATATATTAATTACATTATTACAATGCTAATGTTACCCATAGAATTTCTTACTTTAATATATAAAAAGTTATTCAAAAGCAAAGAAGTACTAAATTTAGTAATCGTTTTTATGTTGATACATGTTGATTAGTTGAAGTAACTTTAGTTTTGTATGTGTGTGTGTGTGTGTGTGTGTGTGTATGTATGTGTGTAAGGTTGTTTGTCCTGTGTCTGGGTGTTGGCCGGTGATGGTCCAAGTTGGACCCCGTCTGTCACCTAACGACCGCCGGATATGGGCGCCATATGCAGGTTTTACTGTAGATGCTAATAGAATTAGCACGTGTGTAAAGCTAACATTAGCCGGTTAACAAGACTTTCTGCTTGTTTGGCAGCTGTAGATTTCACACATGGGTGGCGCTTGTCTGGAATTTTTCACAACTGGAAATATTTCTAAACAGCCAAATTAGCTTTTTTCTTAAGAAAGCGAAAAGTGTAGCAGCCAGCTTGACTGGCAGTGCACAGCGACGTCAACTCGTGTCGATCTAACACCTTCCCCAGCATCTCAGTGAAACCGAGGCTTCTTCAAACCTTGGTTTAACTGACCCATATCAGCAGTCAGGTCAGTTCAGGTAGAGTTCACTTTGACTAAATTCATTAGCCAACTTTATGCTCGGCATGGTGAGTTTACCTGTGTTCCACTGACGCCACGATGAAGCCCTGAGAGGCCAGCTCTACACATATAGCTGAATACAAAGTCCTGGAACAAAACAGACAGATGTTCAGTTAACAGCAACTCCAGCCGTAAAGGGAAAAAAACCTACACACAGTGTGTACCTGAAGGCACCGAGGCCGTGGGAGAAGATAATCACGGGACACTTCTCACTGGATTTAAACGGAGCGTCCATGTAGGCGGGGATCTTATAGGAGCCTGGAATATTAAAACCAGACGACAGTGTGGAATTAAGAATCAGAATAGAAACAAACCCTCCTGTTTCTCTGTTAACGTCCCAATAATTCTGCTTGGTAAAACATCTGAAATTAGAGATCAAAGTAGAAGAAAGTTTATAGCTGAGCTAATCCCAACTGAAATGAAACTGAAGTGTCAAGTGTGAATTTTAACTCACTTCTGCTTTCAGATTCCCCTCTGATCAACTGCCTCCTCACCACAGACTTTCAACCCTTAAGCTAGGCCTTTCTGAAACCCTGATGCTTCAGATTTCATTAGAAATTTGCTCCCATATTTCTAATGAAACCTGAAAAACTGATGTGAGATCCGAACGTTGGTTTGTGAAATTGTAAGAGATGTTGTTACTAAGAGTTGCACTGTAATCTAAAAAGGGAGGTAATTACTTCTCCACATGGGAGCCAAACTGGTTTGTATTGTTTTTCTACTTGTAATAAGCAAAATTAGATTAACATTTGGATTTAATCTGGCCATTTTTGATAGTAAAATTAAGTCTGACAATTAAAAAAATAAAAACTAACAGTAAGAAAAGAAAGCATGATGCACATCTGGAGGATGTGTGTGTCTGCACATATTCACCAAAGAGGTATTCGAAAATCTTTTCACTCCAAGTTCGGTTGATTTTCATGAAGTCGGCCAGGCCGTAAAAATACTCCATGTTCGGGACCCAGTCAGGCTTCTCGGCTTTCTCCGTCTCCTGGCAGGGATAGTACAACCGGAAGAAGCTGCCCTGTTAAAACACACACACACACACACACACACACCTCATTTTATATCAGCAGGACAACAAAAACAATTCAACTGGATCTGGAACTATTTAAAATATTTCCTCCTCAGAACTAAGTAGTTGTGTGTTTGCTGAAGTATGTGAGGGCAGGGCCGGTCCGGTGACGTTTGGGGCCCTGGGTGGAAATCCTCCGGGGCCCTGCCAGCTGACATCATTCAGTACAGCTCCGGTAATATTCCTTTTATTTCATCCGTCTTCAAAAATGCTCACTTTATACATCTGAGTTATCCATTATCAGAGTTATTTTCAATAAATTAAGCTGACTTGTCAGATTAAGAGTTTCTTTTAAGAAACTGACAATTTTTAAGCAGGTATTAAACATTTTACTAAAGGGTATGTGTCTGTATTAAAAATGTTTTCTTTTTTTCCATTAGTCTGATGTAATATTCAAACTTTAAATGTCATGTTTTCATTAGCCAAGTGGAAAATCATTATAATTAACAGATCTGTGTAATTAATCTAAATAATGTTTCACTTTGTAATAAAGTTCCTGAAATAAACTAACTTTACAATAATATTCTAATTTATTGAATGGATTTGTACTAATTTATGCTTATTTTTGTCCTTTTGAGAGGACTGGATCATGCAGAAAAGTGAAAAATAAAGTTTTCTTTTTAAACTTTAACCTAATAACTAAGTATTCCACAGTCTGACCACTCTGAAATGGCTGCTTAGTTTGCATATGCCTTTGACTGGCACTGACTGTGTTGGAGGAATACCAGAGAACCATTTTTGCCTATTTAAATCCAACGCCCACTCAAACGCACAGACACATAGCTGGCCCTGTGTGTGCGGACATGGGGTGAGTTTTGTTGCCGTCTGTCACCTGTGCAGTGTGGTCCATCATGAAGTCTGTGCAGCCCACATGGTTGGGGCCCTTCGGAGGAGGGATCCCCAGATGATTACTGCAGGAGCTCCCCATGGCAGAGAAGCCTAGCCTGTACCTCCACTGTTCTGACAAAAGACCACGATACAGATGTTGTTAGACGACACGCAAGACGAGACAAAAATCAAACTACCAATAAACTCTTTTAACTTCACTTCAAGCCAACAGCTTGGTGGTTAAAATTGGAGAAAATTATTGAAACTGGTTTTGGACCGGATAAAATTCAGGGCTTCCCCCCAGTGTATTATATGCCTGGCGGGCCACCAGGCTTTAAATGGTCCCTGCCAGGCTAAGCATTGTTTATTTGTTTTAGTTTCCCCCCCCCCCCCTTATTTAACCCTTTCATGTATAGTGGTCACTACAGTGGACAGCTATCTAAAAGCCATTTTCTTGTGCTTTTTGTGGATTTTTATGTCCACTGAAGTGGACGCTAATGTATCATAAAATACACTACCAACTACTGGCCATCAGCCGCAAATGCAAGAAATTATTTTTGTTAAATCCAATATAGCCAACAGAAAAAAAAAATCAGGTTTTCTGGGGGAAACCCTGAACATTAGTAGAGGTGTATGTACATATTTGATCCTTTGTGGATCAGAGAAAATCCAAAATGAATTCAGTATTATTCAATTCAATTCAGAAACACAAAATATTCATCCCAAAGTGAAGTTAAATGTTGCCGTGACTCATGTTCAAGAATCTTTAAGGAGTTGCTGCGGAGTAACAGTAGAGTTTTTTAAGAACAACATGGCCAGTGGACGTATTAAAACTGCCATGCATCAATTCATATCTGCTGATGTACAAGTTGATGTACTTAAATTTACCATTCAACCATTCATTTGCATTAGTCAAATCATTGTTCTGTCTTAAGGGCACCAAATCAGGCTCTAGCCCAGGACTCACATCCATGTAAATCTGGCCCTGGTTGCTGTGACCAAAGTCTCAGGACTGTTAGGCTAACGGCTCTATTTCAAGGCAGTAGAGACGGTATTCCGATGTAACATACTATTAATTGTTTTTATCCACCTCCTTCGCTTTTCGCCGCTACTCTTTTAAATCAATATCTGGTTAAAAAGCCATGAGAAACGTAGGAGTCGGGGATATAATTTATTGATACACCATCATTTTAAATCATTTAAAATGTTTGTTCTGTCATTCCACATCAGAAAAATTAAGTGTTAAAGTAATTTTTTTTTTTTTTTAAAGTTCCGAATTAAATGACAGGGATGCTGACGGTCACCTCCTGCTGCGCTGTGAACATAGTGACACTGCGACCTGGCAGTGTAAGTAAAGACTGACTGGTTCTGGAAACGAGGATTTTAAACATCACTAGCAGACTTTAACCTTTTGTCTCAATGTTCATGGATTAGTCCCTTGACTTTGTTAGTAACATAGTAACTTCGCTGTCAGAAGCTGTTAACTATTTCGCAAAACCGTATGTCACAACATCAATGAAGTTGTTCAGTCGTGACACAAAGGTCGCGCTGTATTAAAGTAGTGCTTACCTGTCCTTGCCCAGTCGTAAATTCTCTTCACCGCTATCTGCACAAATCCTCCATTAAAAGACATCGACCTTTGTCGTTTAAAAAAACTGAGTTAACCCGCGCGCTAAGCGGCTGACACCAAAATCATGGATAGAACGCGACAAACAACAACAAGGCCTGAGGCAGCTCCGGAAATCTGGTTGTCCCCGGCTGTTGCCACATCAGCTGTGCTTCATTATTGTGCGGTCACAGGCATTTGTTAGCAACAGCGCACCTGTATGAGTCACTCGGCGGCAGCTAAACTTGTTTGAGTTTGACAGTCTGCTGCTGCGAGCAAAACTGGGAGCTACATGGGGGTGGGAGGGTAGAGGTTTTACACTGGCTCCGCATCATTTACAAGCCAGCGAGACTAGCGGGGTGGGGCTATGTTTCTGTTGACCATTTATCTGTGCCTTTCAGGGTCTTTCGTGATTTCAACCATGTATATCATATTTACGTAAAACTAATAGGACTGTGTCACCCGGCAAACGCATTGCCTCCGTTCCTGGAGAGAAAGCTGTCTTGCGCCGCTCACGAGTACTTCCAGCCAGGTCACGCACCGGCTGATTGCTACGGATTCGGTATCAGTTCCCAAATAATAAAACAAGTCAGGGAAGTTGTGTTATAAGACGCTATAAACCTTCATCCCGCTGTTACTGTGATAACACTTCTATGAATATCGTTTTCAGTTCTTAGTAAAAACGATGGGAGAGAGGGCATGTACCCATGTGACATTGTTTAGATAAATACTGAATTTAATTTAATTAATCTTTAATTTGATTCGGTTATCCACCTTGCTTACTCTGGCAGGAAAATCAATAATATCCTGTTAAAGAGCTGGCTCGTCTGGTGGAATTATACTCAGTTCCTGCAGGGGGCGGTAGAGAGCATACATCACGAGCGGAGACTGAACAATGTAACACAAAATATTAGCAAGTTAGCTACGAGGGCTAAAATATAGCATTTTTCAGTCCTATATTCTCTTAAAATGAAGCTGGTGAGTAAATAACACAAATATTAAAATAATACATAATGCCACAGCAGCTTGAGAAGAGGTCTTGAGAGCTTTAGAAAGTAGCATTAGGAGCTAATCCATTCACTGTGGTTAGCCGAGCAGCTAACAACAAGGCTAAGGACTGTACTTACACTGATCCTCCCATGCTGTTTGATATAGTGAAAACTGGAAGCAGTTCGTTTGATAATAGTCTTATAATTTATATTTCATATCCTTGCAATGACAAAGGAAGCTTGTTTCTGTTCAAAACACTTTAAAAGCAACAATTTGTTGCATCTTTTCTGGGGTTGTGTTGACATTACCCGGTTATATTTTACATGAAAGCCTACTGGTCCCCTTTTTCTCTTTGCAGTACTGTTTGTCCGGTCACCCAACGCTGCCTTGCAATGTTCTCAAATTCAAATCCACCACCATAATGCTGGACTGTGGACTGGACACCACGTCTGTCCTCAACTTTCTGCCTCTTCCTCTGGTGCACAGGTAAAAAAAAAAAAAAGTGATTTAGCTGTTTATGACTGGGATGTATTGATTAAATATTTTTTTAAATTTAATTTTATTTTATTTTTGTGTATAATCAGTCCGAGACTCTCCAAGCTGCCTGGCTGGGTCTTAAAGGATGGGACCTTAAACCTGGAAAAGGTAAGAGGAGTTATAGGATTGAGGGATTTAATTAGTGTGATGTACAATGAAAGGTTGTAAATACAGCTGAAAAACAGTTTTACATGAATAGTTTCTAAGGTACAGATTAAATAAAAGTCCTCTTCATCCTCCCAGGAACTGAAGGAATGCGCCGGCAGAGTGTTTGTAGACTCCCAGCCCGAGTTCTGTCTCCCTGAGGTAAATAATCCAACTGAGATGATTGTTATTAGGAGAAAACGTGGGTATGGCTTAACCTAGGCAATATGTACTGTTCACTGCTGCATCATCTGTATTCTATACATCACTGTAAACAACCAAAAAGCAAACTCTGCTCTTCATCTTGGTCTAATTCTTTTTGATTTCTCTCCCACAGAGAGAACTGCTGGATCTCTCCACCATCGACGTCATCCTCATCTCCAACTACCACTGTATGATGGCCTTGCCCTACATCACCGAACACACCGGATTCACAGGGACGGTGTACGCCACAGAGCCCACCCTGCAGATAGGAAGGTGAGTACGGAGGGCGCTAAAATGGATGGAACATCATTTGCTGTTTTTTACTTCATTTGTTAATGACAAAAGAGAACAATTCAAGAAATAAAGAGAATGTTTGTTTTTTTTTGTAGCTTGTTGCTTTAGATTTTAGTTAAAAATCTCACTTGCTCCTTCGTCTTACATGTAAAATAATTTTAATATACCGATGAAGTTATTAACAAGTAAGAACCCTCGTTTCCCTGCAGGTTGCTGATGGAGGAACTGGTGAACTTCATGGAGAGGGTTCCCAAAGCTCAGTCTGCCACCTGCTGGAAGAACAAGGAAATTCAGAGGTTGGGAAATTAAACACAAAAGATGTGGAAAAAGTTTAAAGGGAACTAGTTTTGTAGAATTGATTTTTCTATGCTTCTCGAGGCTTTTCCCAATTTTCCGTGGCCTGTTTTTGTTGAGCAGAAATAATCTCCCAGCGACTCAAATAATAAACACACACAAAGACTTAAAAAAAAAAAAACATATTCAATTTCTTGTAGCCTCTTCTGTGCTTTGTAATCTTTGGTTCATTGGATTCCATCACTAACTTGGAATTTTACTTTATTTCTTTGACACCAGTTCACTTTCCTTGGTTATTTATTTGCTAATTTTGAAAAATAATAAAAAAAAAATATTGGTACAGTTTTTCTTTTGTCCTTCCCTCAGATATGAGGTCTGCTGAAACATATTTTAAAAAATATCATGGTGCTCCCAACTCCAAACTTCATTGTTTTTAGCTTTTTTTAACCATGCTCTGTTAGTATTTTAACTTGAAATGAGCTTCATCAATACATTTTTCTTCAGCAGTGGAGTCTTGCGCAGAGCGTTCTGCTTGAAAATGACTTTCTAGCTCCAGGTCTTCCTTTCTTAGTTTTTGTTTTTCAACTAAAAATAAAATCCACTTCAGGGTTGTGAAACCTTTTTATTAGACCACCAGTTGATGTAAATAAATGACGCTCTTCTGCATCAGGATGCTTCCTGGGCCACTGAAGGACGCGGTGGACGTGTGGACGTGGAAACGGTGCTACAGCATGCAGGAGGTCAACTCGGCGCTCAGCAAAGTGCAGCTCGTCGGCTATTCCCAGAAAGTGGTAGGAACAACTATTCTCCTAATTGCACTGACTGAACAGATTAAAGTTGTTTTTACATGTTTGACCAAGCTTGTGAATATTTTAGTGTATTTAAGTGAGCTGTACTGGTGCAGACTTGTCAAATAAATTTGTAATTCAGTACATTTATGTCTGTGTTTAAAAAAAAAATAAAAAAAGTTTTAAGCACTGTTCTTCTGTATCAGATCAGCCGATACCAAACCTCAGATATCGGTATCGGAAGTGAATAAGTGAATGGGTGCATCCCTACTTCTGATATTTTGTAACATATTTCAGAAATACTGACAAAAAATAAATCAATGCAGCTAAACTTTAGACAACACTGATAATTAGACTGACTGATACCAAAGTTTGCAGAAAATTAAGATACTAAACAGTTATTTTTTCTCTATTCTAAAACACCACAATAGATAAATCTAAACATTGCAGTCCATTTGAATCTTGTTTCTGTTGTAAGATGTTTCAACACGGTATTTCCAGGCCACAGTTGTTGTTTTTCTCATGTTTGTTTGCTTTCCTGACTCTGTTGTTCAGGAGTTGTTTGGAGCCGTGCAGGTCTCCCCCTTGAGCTCCGGCTACTCACTGGGCAGCTCCAACTGGATCATCCAGTCGCATCACGAGAAGGTGTCCTACGTGTCGGGTTCTTCCCTCCTCACCACACACCCGCAGGTAAATTCCTCCTCCTGCTGATGTCAACCCATACGATGCTAGGTGCATTCTGTGCAAACAGAGCCATAGACGGTGTCTTACTCTTTTAGCGGCTTTGTGTTTGTTACTCTATAAGAAACACAAAGCTGCTGCCAAGAGCCACAAACAGAGTCAAGAAATTTCAATTTTTGCTATGCCTGATTGTAATGCAGTAGAATCTCCCAACCATTCCCTGTATTTATAGTTCTTTTCTGACTTAAATTTCATTCAATGTGGCATTAACAAAAAGGTTTTAAGAAGCCTTAAATTTTTCTTGCCAAAACCTGCAGATACCTTGAAACAAAACCAGGGTGTAAAAAGAAGACTCTGTTTAATGTGTTGGTGAATTTAAACCAAAACTGAAGGGAGTTTAGTGTAGTTTAAAGCGAGGGAAGAGGCAAACGCCGCCGATCTCATGTTCCCACAAAAACTAAGCCACACAGTCACAGAGCGCTCTGGTAAAGTGTGCTTCCTGTTTCTCCTCCCAGCCGATGGACCAGAGCTCCCTGAAGAACAGCGACGTTCTGATTCTGACGGGCCTCACGCAGATGCCCACCGCCAACCCAGACGGCATGCTGGGAGAATTCTGCAGCAATCTGGGTAGCTTAAAAATGTCCAGAAGAAACAATTCACCTAACTTTTTTTATTTTTTTCGATCTAAGTCACTGACTGAAGCTTGTTGTTGGGTTTGGCCCCGCAGCCATGACGATCCGGGCGGGAGGCAACGTGCTGGTTCCCTGCTACTCCTCTGGAGTGATATACGACCTGCTGGAGTGTCTATACCAATTCATCGATAGTGCCAACCTGGGAACCACGCCCTTCTACTTCATCTCTCCCGTAGCCAACAGCTCCCTGGAGTTCTCACAGATCTTTGCTGAGTGGTGAGCAGCTCTTCCTTAAGACCTCTTCATGTTTTCTTCATTACTTCTTCATCATTCTTATTCCACTTCTAATTTCTGTCTTTTCTGTTCTGATTCAGGCTTTGTCATAATAAGCAAACTAAGGTGTATCTTCCTGAGCCTCCTTTCCCACACGCAGAGGTAATTTCCACCTGCTGCATCAACAATGATGCTGCAGTTTCTGACAAAACGATTCTGTCAGTATGACCTCACATGCTGGAATATTACAGCTGGAAAACAGCTTTCTAGATCAAAAAGTTTAAATTGAGGTGACACTTTTAAGATCCAGCAATGTTGTCTTGAGTTTCCACCAGTGCAGAGCTTGAGCAGCATTCACATCAGGCGACTGATTTCAATCCATTAGATTGACAAGGCATCTGCACATCCTTAAAAAGTCTTCACATTTCTTTATATGTATCTAAAATTAAGGCCTTAAAATGTCTTAAATTCATCTTAAAAAGTAATTTGGCCTTTTAATAATGTTACCTTCTTAAAATAATGGCCTATGTCATTTTTTGATGTTTTAGGTGAAAAAATATCACTTTGGGCAAAAATTGATTAAGGTGATTATTTTAGGAGTCAGGGTGGTATATTAATCACAGGTCTTAAATTTTGTCATGGAAGGATTAGCTGCTAATAAACCCCTTGTAAGGTTTAGTTGCTGCTAACTAACTGCTATCTAGCTAGTTAGCTAAGGCATTTACATTACATTTGGTCATGGAAAGACTATTTAATGTCATATATTCTATTTTTCATTTTAGTTTTTTTTTTGTTTTCATGCGACTTTTTGGTCAGGCAAAAGTTTGAGTCCCACTCAGACATCTTTATTGCGTTTTGTGCTTCTAGATAGTTGAAGCTCCCGCTAACTAGCTGCTAATGAACTCTTGCTAGCAAGCTTTGAGTAAGTGGAAATTTATCGGCAGTTGTCTGGGCCACATTCATACGTGTCTGTGGTGGTAGAGGTCTTAAATTCCATTCATAATAAGCCTTAAAAAGTCTGAAATTTGAGTTGGCAAACCTGCAGAATCCCTGGATTTATTACCTAGAATGTAAAATTCAGTCAAACTTAACTAAATAGAAACAACATTTTTATAATGTTTAATATGGGCAACATTTTGATCTTGAAAGACTTTTTCTACCAGACCAGCAGCTTCACAAAGAGGAAGCTGTTGAAATGGATGTGGTGACCTTGGTTTCTGTGTTCCAGCTGATCCAGACCAACAAGCTGAAGCACTATCCCAGCATTCACGGCGACTTCAGCAGCGAGTTCCGCCAGCCCTGCGTGGTTTTCACCGGTCACCCCTCACTGCGCTTTGGCGATGTGGTTCATTTCATGGAGCTGTGGGGCAAATCCAGCCTCAACACTGTCATCTTTACAGGTAACTACCACACAGACGCTGAGGAAAAAGGGGGAAAAAAAGAAGTTTTTTTCAACTTGATCTTGAAGCTGATTTTATTTAATTTTCTCTTCCTTTCAGAGCCAGATTTCTCCTACCTGGATGCCCTGGCTCCGTACCAGCCATTAGCCATGAAATGTGTTTACTGTCCCATTGACACTAGGCTCAACTTCCATCAGGTTTCAAAGCTCCTGAAGGAAGTGCAGGTATTCAGCTCACATCATCACATCATTCTTAAAATTTATGTGCTTTCTAGAATATTAAAATGTGGGAAACTGTAGGAGAAACCGTAACTTTTGATTACCAGGCCATAGGATTTCGTAATATTTTTTTTTGTCTTTTTTTGCCATCAAAATGACTGATTTTGTGATGCTACTTTAGAAATATTTGCAAGGAATTTTGCAAACATATATTACTATTTGAAAAATATAAATATATTTTTATATATTAAACTCCTTCAAAAATATCCATACAGGCAGAAAACAATGATGGAAAAAAAGCAAGCAGTTATTTGTGTTACTTAAAGAACTTAAATAGTCAGGTTTTCATTACTCGCCACATCGATCACTGACTGCTGATAACCTAATAAGACTGGGGCAGTGGTGTTGTAGAAGTAAGAAATACTGCCACCTGCAGGTGAGAGTTAGTAGTCACTGAAACCTGAAGCATTTTTGTAAAAAAATTTCAGTTAACTAGTAATTAAACTTGAATCCGAAACAATGGGGGGATCTGTTGATTTTGTGTGAATTTCTACATTAGTAAAATGGTGAAAAATAATTGTGGGTAAATGTGGAAAACAGAATATTCCGAAGTTGGCAGGTGTTTCATTGAGAAGAAACGAGGACAGGATGGGTTAGAAAGCAGTTCTGTTAGGTTCAGATACAAGTCAGGATTATTTATTTATTATTGTTCACCCAGGTTCTCAGCTGCTGCTAGCTTCCACTACAGGCTTTGTTTGACCCTCTTTAGTCCAGTCTTTGATAATACTTGGCTTAGTTTGTCAGCTGGTCATGTAAAAGTATTCATACGTCTTCAACTTTTCTGCATTTAAACCATTTTCAAACAAAAACTTTACTTTTACTGAGGTTTCATGTGAAAGTTTAACACAACATAGTGCGTAACTCTGGAATGGAACAAAATGTATAAAAAGCTGTGAACATTTCTAAAAGCAACCGGACAAAATAGTCAATGCAGATCTGAAAAACTGGCGTCAGATGTTGATGTTTTCTGATTCCTTCTAATGATAGATTTGCAGTCGTCTAATCTAGAGATGATGAATGGAAGTAAAAAAAACAAAAAAAACAACAACAAATGTTTCAGCAATTTGACACATTGCATAAAAACTGGTTAAAACTGGTTTTACTTGCTTAGACTTGTCCTAAAACACTCTGAGTTCTGACATGGGAGAAACTATACAAGGAAGAAGATCAAGGAAATAAGTTGCATCATAAAAGTGGCGCAATTTCCCAATACTAAGATTTCTCTTTTATTTTAATTTAGTCTGAGGGAGTTTTGTATCAAGCAGTGTTTTTTCATCTTAATGGCAATACGACTGAGGCTGCAGTGAGTCTGAGGCATCCAACTTAATAAATTTGGATGTCATCTGGATAACAAGGAAAGGAAATATTGTACTTCTTGATCCCAAAGGCAGGACGTACAATGAAAAACAAGATGGGACCGAAGATGGATCCTTGAGGTACACCACATCAGACGGGCACCCAAGAAGATATAGAGTCTCCTATAGATTTAAAAACAAACACATCTCAAAACAATTTGAATATCCTAAAAAAGGGTTTTTGTTACTCATTTCAAATAGTGAGTATATTTTACAGATTCATGACAGATTCAAGCCTTTATCAATGTTATTTTGGTGATTATGACTGACAACGTATGTTAGTATACCACAGCTCTTAAAAATGATGTGGGACCACGAACAGATTTATGATATTCTTGTCTCAGTTTCCTTCCACTTCACAATTAATCACTCCTTTGTGTTGATCTGTTACATGAAATCTCATTTAAATACGCTGACATTTGTGTTTACAACAAGACAAAATGTGGGAAAGTGAGCTATCTGAACGCGTGTCTGTCCTGCAGCCCCTACATGTGGTGTGTCCGGAGCAGTACACCCAGCCTCCTCTAACGCAGTCCCACCGTTCGGACCTGATGCTGGAGCTGCAGCCCCCTCCCATGCCTTACAGGCGCTGCTCCGTGCTCAACCTGCCCTTCAGGCGGCGCTACGAGCGAGTCTACATCCTGCCTGAGGTAACACTGACGTCAGTCAGAGGAAACTGACATTTTCTGCATCATGGGAGTATTTAGAGTCTCTCTCTAGGGGGTTTTAATTCCCAGAATCCTGATTCTTCCTCTTCTAGCTCGCCAACTCACTGGTACCCTCTGAGGTTAAACCCGGCGTCTCCGTGGCAACTGTGTCAGCAGTGCTGCAGTCCAAGGACAACAAGCACACGCTGCAGGTGAGGACCGCAGGATGTGCTGGAAGTGTTTGTTGCCCCTGGAGTTGGCTGACATTTTTCTCCCCACCCCTAACCTTAACCCTGCCAAGTCGGTGCCCAAAGCGCCTCCTGTGGCCCCCAGCAAAAAGAGGAAGCGGGTGATGGAGGAGCCCCCCGTGACAATGGCGCCCAAACCCCTGCTGAGCGGAGCTGTGCCCCTGGAGGCTTTCCTGGCCACCCTGCAAAAGGTCAGAGTGAATGTTCTCTTAAAGGGGCAGTATCATGTAAAATTAACTTTTTAGAGCTTTATATCGTGTTATAATGCCATTCCCTCGCAAAAACATACCTGAAGTGTTGCTTTGATTCATGTATGTTGAGAAGCCCTTTAATCTCCCATGGCAACCATTCAGCTGAGCAAAACACCTGGGTGGACTTAGCACCGCCTCAGAGGGCAAAGCTCCTCCTACAGTTTACAAGCTGAGCATTCGGCTCACAGAGCAGCTTTCCTCCGGGACTCCCCCACTCAGCTCCTTCAGACTAGCCAGCAGCAATTAGCAAACATCTGGTTGAACTGCATATCTGCTGAGCTACTTCTCAGTGAAACGCTGGTAAAAACGTTGTTAAAGGGTTCATAGAGGAGACATGTTGTGATGACTTCCTGAAGGCGGAGTTTCAGGAAGAGCAAAAGTTACTTAAAGAGGCAGAGGCCCAATTTCAAGGTGTTAAATAATGACGGAAAATTTCTTTTAAGTTATATTTGATATAAATGGCATTTTTTATAACATAGCTACTTGATTGTGCTATAAACTGGCCAAAGTGCCTGGAAAACACAGAACACTGCCTCTTTAAAACTGGGCTGTTTTCATTCCTGTGCGTTTGGTTCTTTTGGACGAGCAGCACGGGATCACAGAGGTCAAAGTGGAGGAGACGGCAGACGGACACATCCTGCACCTGCAGGCCGAGGACACCCTGATTCAGCTGGAGGAGGACGGGACGCACATCGTCTGCGACAACAACGAGCCGCTGCGGGCCACGCTCAGAGACCTGGTGCTGCGCTTCCTGCAGAAACTCTGAGCGCGTCCATCTGGTCTGGTCTCCCTCTGCTGCAGCACAAACACAGGACTGGGGAGGAGAGATGTCGTATTTAACTGTAGTTTTAATTTTTTGTTTGTTTTTTATGAAACGTGTCCAGATTTATTATTTTGTATTAAATAATTTCCCAAACATCTTGTGCGGTGTGTCTTGAATCACTAGTGTTTTGGGTTTACCAGCATTTTGACATTTTGTTTTCACAATTCTTTCTGACATCAATTGGAACCAAAAAATGCTATTTCATTCATTGGTAATTCACATTTATATAAAGAGTCAGAATTGAATTTGTTGAGCTTAGGGCTCAACAAATTCAATTAGCACTGGAAGTAAATTGGCACATTCTGCAGATTTTCCACTTAAACCTGTTTTATACAATATTAGAAATGCATCAATCCTCCCATGGCCTAAAGAGATGGGATCCATTAGACCCCACAAACCTTTTACTTTGCATGGTTAGGCGGCATTGTACTGATCCACTTCAATAGTTGGAATTGAAGGACCGAAAACCAAATTTTGCTTAGTATGAACTACTTTGTGTGTCACGTTAAATCTTGTAAAGTCTTAAAATGTGGAAAAGTTCAAGGGTATGAATACTTTTACCATGCACTATGTATTTTTTATTCCTCAGCTCTGAAGTGATTTCCTTTTAGCTCTGCATTCTCTCTAAATTTGGTGACTTCTGGATCTACAAAGGAACAATCTGCAAGAGATGCCCTCCTTCAGTTTTTAGTGTTTCGGTTTTGTTATTCTACATTAAAGGCTGACGGTTCAGATCAGATGAGCAAGCAAAAACAGCACATTTTTCCTGTCATAATAGATAAAATAACACAGAACAATAATGTTTAGCACTTTTATCTGAAGAAAAAAAAATAAGAGCTGTGAACACCATCTGTTCCAGACAAGCTGGAGCAAACCAGCACAGCTGTTTTGTTTCCTTAACGTCTACAGCAGGTTTCACAATCGAAGGCTTATTGCAGTAAAATAATGTCACATTGAACATTCATAAAAATCAAACCTTTAACTGGAGTAAATTCATTCGTGAAGCAAGAAGAAGAAAAAAAACTCCCACATTAAGACGTAATTGTTTTAAATATTACAACTAATGATGCAATGTGTGCAACGCCAGAACAATTCCTAGAAAATAAGCAGAAGTGAAGCATTTTTAATTATCTACACAACTTCCTGTTTCAACTACTCAAGATGGGAAAGTCAAGAGATCCTGCCACTGGAGTGAGACAGACGTTTGTTAATTCTCTAAAGATGCATCTAAAATAGCTACTTGTGTTAACTTGCCCTCAAAAAAAGAAAGAAAAAAAACTATCTACAGAGTAAAAAAATCACCAAAAACACTGCTACTCTTCAAAACAGGAAAAACATGAGAACATACTATTGCAATAAGGCAGCTGTTGATTTTGGGGATCAATTTGGGCAGATTTATCTCACTGGACTATTGATGGCAATACTCTTAATTTCAAAACTTAGCTCAGTAATACTCTTGAGATCTGAGCTAATCTCAGTTTATTCATAAATTAATAATACAGGGAATAGTTAGTAGACTAGTTTGGATAGTTTACTCACGCATAAATCAATAATAATGTAAAAACAGCCTTTTCAACTTATCTTTGTCTAACATTAAAAGTGACCGTCAGACACGGCAGAAACAAAGAGCCGACTCGTCATCTGCGTCTGAAAATATTTAATTGTTGCAGGGTTAACATGTTCCTAAAATACATTTAACAATAGGCTTTAAATGTACAATATCTTACAGTGTACTACATGTTCACTTCATAATACAACTGTTGGAGGATGCTCCAAAACAAAATATAAACACAGTCTTCCTTCGGTGACAAAAAAGGGAAAAAAAAAAAAAAAAAGACTGATGTAACAAATTCAAACTGCCTCAGTTTGTCCAGCAGGGCAGGAAATAAGTCAGAGAAGAAGAAGAAAAGGAGGCAAAGTGTGTTTGGTGCGTCTCAGCGGATTTCAGCAGAAAAACACAGTTGGTAGACTTTGTATATAAATCACAGCAAAAAGAGCAAACAGGTTGGATTTTTTTTTATTATAATGCATATTAATCCCTGTTCCCTCTTTACGTAGTGGAGCTACAGGCAGTGCATCTGGAAGGTTTTAAGTGTGTCGACATCATTTTGAACTGAAATCAGTCTGAATTTAGGGAGAACCAAATGTGGAGAAGAGGTAGTCCAGATTTCTGAAGGTAACATGGCAGGAAACCGTGGCGAAGTTGATACAGAACTCTGTTCCTTTAAATGTTACCCAAAGGAATTAACCATTTTGATTTGGCAAAATTAGGTAAAAAACAAAAACAAAAAACAAATAGGAACTTTAAAGCCGATATGATTTGTATTATTTTTGGATCGGTGCAAAAGGCTCTGATTGTAATGCATTAAAAAAAAAAAAAAAAAAAAAATTTTAAAGTGTTTGTTTACGATGCCATATTAAGGACATGATAGAGAGAAAAAAGGAATACATTTTGAGATTAATCTCAGAAATTTTTCAGAAATTTTTTTTTGTGCAAATTTCTGATTTTTGACTTTTCAAATTCAGAAATTTGATGGGGGTTCTTTTAAGACAACTTGTGAGATTGATCTCGGAATTTCTGAGGTTTTTCAGAAAATCAAAGGTTAATCTAGAAAAGCTGCAATTTTCTGAGTTTTTTTCCTAGAAAATGTCCGAGATCAGTCTCAGAATGAGCTTTCTTTCTCAGCTTTTATCTACAATCACCCTAACACGCCGTCGTTTTTATTAGCAGTAAACAGGCTGCATAATGTATTCAATCTACCTGGATAGCTGATTCATCTCTAATCATTGGAAGTGTAGCCAGAGATCAGGAGGAAGTGTGAACCTGATGAATGCGTTTTCTGTCTTCTCATTCCTTTGATGTTTGTTACGCTCTCTCTCCTTTTTTCTCTTTTTCTTTCCTACTTGGATTCCTTCTCGGCGTCCAGCAGAGCCGAGCGGATGCCGAGCTTCTTCAGCTCGTCCACCAGGTCGCCGTTCTGGTGCATCTGGAGCAGGATGTCGCAGCCTCCCACGAACTCGCCGTTGAAGTAGACCTGAGGGATGGTGGGCCAGTTGGAGAACACTTTGACTCCTGTTGTTACGGATCAAAGTCCAGACAGAAACAAGGAGATCAGTCACCAAGGGAACAATGGAGGAAGGAGGTAGGACGCTTCTGAGTCACGACGGAGAGCTTTGGTTAGGATCAAGTTTAAAAATAAAATCTATTACTATTTTTTTTTTTTTTTTGTTATACCAGAACCAATTTTAAACGGGTTCTTTTCTAAAAAATAAAATACAAATGACAGAAAATATCTTCAAAAAGTGACTTTTATTTCAATCATCCCTTCAGTGAGTTGTACAACGGCGTATCAGGGCTAGGCTACAATTTTAACCAGAAAATTGTCTCAAAATTATGATAAAAATATTGTTTGAATGAGGAAGAAAAAGCTTCTAGAGTTATCGATGCGATCAGTTCGTGTGATTCTGAAACTAAATTCGGGACGCTTGTACAATCGTTTCAGTGTCCTCCTACTGACAGGAATTTGATGCTAATTTGTTAAAAGATAAAGTATTTCCTCATTTGTAAGCTAGATGTCGAAGTACAACTTCACAAGATGCTCAAGGTTCCTCATTTTATTTTTATTTTTCATTTTGTGCTGCAGTTCTCATAAAGTTACTACTTCATTCTCCTAATAATACAACTTTATTCTGGTAATATTAAAACTTTATTTTTCTGATATTTGGACGTTGTCGTACAACTGTATCCTTGCAATATAATGAATTTATTCAATCAATTTTTAAAAAAATGAAGGGTGTGATGACACCACTCTGACTTATGGAGGGAAAAAATAATAATCCAGATTTTCCAACAACAGGACTACCCAGTTTGTACAACTAAGTGGACTTTTTGCACTCCGGTCATATTTTTGTTCACTATCCACAGTCATATAATGACATTAGTTGAAATGCCGCTCCGAGAAGAAGAAGCAAGATAATAAAATAAAATAAAATAAAAAGATTGGACACCTGAGAACACAAACCCAGCTGTGAAGTACACAATCTTGGATCGATGCCTCTCTTCTCAACCCTGGTAATTAGATTTTAAAAGCAGTAAAGTCTCTGATCTCATCTCTGGCGGATGGTTTGCTTGGAGCCACACCCTTTGGTGCTGCTGCAGGACGCTGATAAAAACCCAAACGTTTGGAAATACAAAGAGCTGAGAGGCAGAGCTGATCTCAGGGAAATGACAGTCTGGTTAAAATGGACGCAAACGTAACAGAGAGACATTTACAGACTGGCTGAATGATTAAGTAGCTGTGCCTTTAGCTAAACACCTATTAAAGATGCCAACTTGTTGTTCGGACTCAACTTGTCCCAGCTTACTGACCTTCTCTGAGCTCCTGGTCTTCCAGAACGTTGTAGGAAGCGTATTGGTCCACCCCATGCATCCGGAGGATCTGGACCACGGCGTTGCTGAAGCCACACATGGGCTGTGCCGGGGTCCCCTTCATAAACACCACCACCTTGTCCTTCTTCACCATCTCACCAAGGTCCTTCTGGAGGTCCGCCGCCGCGCACAAGAACCGGGCCGAGGCCGCTCGCACAAGTCCGTCAGCTGGCCTGAGTAAGCACGCGGCCGCGCCGGACCGCATACACCTAGCTGTGGATCTAATTAAACTGTTCATAGTGTTTTTTTGCGATGTTTTATCGGTATTGATAAATAAACAGGTCGCACACGTACAAGTTGGGTCCTGTATGAGTGAAACTCACAGGACAACATAGACGTCAAGCTTGATGGGCGGGATCTGGATTTGGATTGGACGGCTTGTAGGACCCTAAAGTTTAATCTGAGCTGCTATTGGCCAAAGCGAACGCCAGTCAGAGCGTAAAATCGCCAACAACGTGGTTTGCGTAAGAAATAATTTTAAATTAACTTTCAAAAAATAAAGTCAACCAGCAGCCATATTTGCATTCGTGTGCTTTGTAATTTATTTGCTAAAAAAAAAGAAATTAAACATATTTTTAAAAAGTCATTCATGGAGCTTTTAATAGCTTCCGGGGTGAAATGGGCAGAACGGAAGAACTCAATAGCAACTAAAGATGGCGGCGCAGACGCATAAAAATAACAAACCGGGGAAATCTGGGGGGAAAGAAGCTCAGCCGCTGATACTCCCCAAGACCCCGGCGGAGGAACAGCGTCTGAAGTTGGAGCGGCTCATGCGGAACCCCGACAAAGTCGCTCCTATCCCGGAGCGGCCGAAGGAGTGGGCCCCGCGAGCGCCGCCGGAGTTCGTCCGGGACGTGATGGGCTCCAGCGCGGGCGCAGGCAGCGGGGAGTTTCACGTCTACCGTCACCTGCGCCGGAGAGAATACCAGCGGCAGGACTTTCTGGACAAAATGGCAGAGAAGCAGGGCAAAGACGTGGACTACCTCAAGAAACTGGGGCAGAACCAACGGGAGGCCGAGGAGCGAACGGCAAAGCGAAGGAAGAAGCGAGAAAAGCTGAAGCTGAAGAAACTGTTGGCAAAGAAGGCTAAGACGGAGGGGAAGGAGAAAAAAGATGAAGACAAGGACTCTGACAGTAGTGGAGAGGAAGAACGGAAGGAGAAGAGTGGGGAAGAAGAGGAAAAAGAGGACGACGCTGAGACCCCGAGCTTCATCATGGGGAGGAAATGAACAACCATATGAAAGTACAGTGGCAGGGGTTAGCCTGGTCTCTATACCCGAAGAGCAAATTGACTCTTAACCATAAATGGTTGATTGAATCAGGAGATGGAGAAACTTATTGACTGGATCCGTTTTACTTTTAAATTCAGAACTTCCTGAGTGGATTTTTAGCCAATCACTTGATTTGGTTTGGACACGTGATCACACTCGCAAAAATGTTAAACTGTTGGGTTTTGTCTAAATTGTGTCCTCATGTTTTGTTTGAATAAAAAACAACTTTAATTCTATGTTTCCATTCTATGTTGCTCTCAAGAAGTGGATGGAGGATTATTCTGTGTGCTGCACACTCTTCTACATTCGAAATGTGCTTTTTTCTTAAGGTTATGACGTCATATCTGTGTGTCTTTGCCGCCTTGTCGATCGGCCCCTGGTGACCTCCATCACCCGTGGGAACAGCAAGGTTGCAGAAAGCATCTCAAAGAATGAAAAGGCGTGGCTTCCGCAGGCTTGGGAGTCCCACGTGCGATGTTCCTTGGACAGACTTCCTGCTTCCCACGGAGGAGGCGGTCCGGCTCAGTGGCCGCCACCTTTCTTGAGGCAGGTAGAGTAAAAACCAGGCAGCTTGATATTGTTTGGGCCAGGGGAAGCTTTTCCTGTCAGACACTGTCCACTGTCACAGTAATAGTTTAATACCCCATCATTACTCTGACTTTAATTCATGTCCAGCATTTTTTCAAAAGGTGTATTTGCTTCAACGTAGAGGTGGAAACTGCTCCACAGTTTAAACAAAGTAAGGTTTGTGTCAGCATCGTTTTGTGGTGCAACTTCCTTTAACTGTGGAAGTTGCACCACAAAACAAACCTGCATTGAGATTTGTTTTGGTCCCAAAGTAATATTGGTGGGGATAAGATTTGAGAGAGTATTTAGAGGATTTCTTGATATACTTGTGATGTGCAGTCATATTCAATAAATCAGAATATAATTACTGATGAGGGTTGTGAGATTAATCATACTTTTTGAATATAACAATCTTTAAGCAAATATATTTACTAAGCTTGGATTTCTGGATTAAAGAAATGCTTTAAAAATGTTTTTGTCAGATGTAAAATTAAGAGAAATAAAAACTAAAACAAAAGCAGTTGTGTTTCACCTATATAATGTAATTAATTTAGTGAATTGAATTACTGAAATTCATGAACTTTTCAATAGTATTCAAAGTTATTGAATATTACAAATTTCTGATTTTACAATGTCAATTTTAAAATCATAGTTATGTATTTTAAAGATGGAAATTTCACCTTTTCCCCCCAAATTTATGAGTTTTTCAACCTAAGATAATGTCCAAATTTTTATATATGAATACATAAGTTAGAAATTAGAGTTTTATTGGTGGAAATGTACTCCTCCATAACCACATTATTATTTTTTCTTTCATCTATAATTACTCAAAGGCTTTGTCATAAATATGACTGCATATACATTGAAATTTTAGATTTTGCCATGTTCACATAAAACACAACAAATGTTTGGTTTGATGTGTTTTAAAACTTTTTTTTTTCCAAAATAAAAAGCCCTTTTTCTCTCCTAACAATAAATAAAATCGATTGCGACCTGTTGCACATGCACTTAATCATGGCATAAATCCAATTATTCTGTTTGGACCACAGATGTTTGTTTGTTAAAGGACTTTACGGAGCAAACAGAATTAGTTTGAGCCTGAGTCAGCCCAGTCAAACACCAAACATGGGTTTCTTTGTGATTCATATTGTGATTCATATGTGTTTTTCTCATGCCAACTGGGAAGATAAGGTAGATTTACACACAGTTAATAGAAACTGAGCATCAATCACGAAAAAAATGTGAATAATTCTCCATAATTATATTTAACTGAGACTGGTGAACCATTCAAACCAATCTTTGCTCCACATTATTAACAAATCCCCTAAATGACTTGTTCCCAGAACTCTTGGGGTTTTGACTTTCAAAACGACCACATCTCGCACAAAACCTCAAGTTGTTAAATACTGCAAACACTTCAATCCAGCACGGACAAAATGAAGACATAACCAGCCTTGTACTATTATTCTTATGATGATGTGAACATTTCAAGTTAAAATAAATTTCTGTGTTAGTTGAGACATCAGTGTGTCAGCCTCCACAGGTCTTTTGTGTATGCTGACTCGTCTCCTCTGTTAGTCAGTGGCACCACTGATTTAGACATAGTTGAATGAAGGAACTCTTCAGTCGTGTCTTTACATGAAACATGAAAAGAGCCAAAAGCACAGCCTTGGGGTATCCCTTTGCTAAGTAACCAATTTTAGGAGCCACTCTTCTAAATCACACCTAAACTGAGATGTCTTGGTAAAAATCATTTTGTCATGAAGAAGTTTTGATACAGCAATAGCAGCTATTTTTAATGGGATTCTTCAGAAAATAATCTCTAAGTGAATCTTTGATTTGTAAAAGTCACATTAGGCTGGTGGTTTCACAACCTGAGAATTAAATGATTGTGTGTTAAATTATTCGATTATTGTTATTATCCAGTTTCCTACTAAAATCTCCAGTAGATAAATGGGTATAGACATCTTCCAGAACTGTTGCTGTTAGCAAAATGCATCAATTCTTCTTTGCATAATTAAATACCCAAGAAATCTGTTTGCTGGCAAATGCACCTTGTTTTTAAGGCGCTTAAAAAATGTCTACGCCCGCTAATTCTGCAGATTGTTTTGAACATGCTCAAACAGAATGTGGTAACTAAAAGGTAATAAATCGGAGATCAAATTGTTGTGCAAGTCTTAATTCCTGGTATGTGATGAAGCACAGTAAAACCAGCTGATTGTATTTTTTGTCCCACGCAAAGATCCAGTGAAATCTGGCAAATGCCGCTACAAATACGACTCTGTGGACCGCTGCCCGCCAATAGCAGGGAGTCTGTGTTGTCTCAGGGGGGAGTTTTGCTCGGTGGAAGGTTTGGGCTTGCTGGAGCAAGCTATGCTGTCTCACTTTGCCTCACCTCAGTCCTTCTTTTTATGAGGAAGTCTCAGAGAAGACTGCGGATATGTTCAGCTCTTGGCACCTCTTCTATCTCCACAATGGATCTTGAGCAAAAAGAGTGACTGAGAATGCAGGACTTACTGGATTCACAGAGCAAAGCAGCAACGGCGATCAATGATCACAATGGGCAGCCTCAAGGTATGATGTGTTTTAGTGATCCTTAAGGTTAGCTAAATACCCTTTAATCAAAAAGGTTACTTGTTGCTATTTTTCAGTAGATTTCATCCATGTTATAGGCTTTGTACCACCTGGTTGCTCTATCACCTGCCATGTTTTCATTGGTTAGAGGTGTCGTCTTCTCAAAGTTGTTTTTTGGAAATGTTTTGTTACGTCTCGCTTCCCCTCTTCAGACAGGAGGAAAGCTACGCAGAAGAGAACTTTCACCAGATGGATGAATGTGTTCTTGCAAAAAGTAAGGCAGGAACCACAAGACTTTCATTTCAAAGCACTTTTTTGCAATAAAAACGATTATCCACAAAAGCATTTGTTTCTGTTTATTTCCAGCGAAATCCTCCCCTTGCAGTCTCCGACCTGTTCACAGACATTCAGGATGGCAGAATGCTCATGGCGCTCCTGGAGGAGCTGTCTGGCTGCAAACTAGTAAGAACTCCCTCATTTTTTCATCTCGAAACCATAAAAAAAACAACAATATTTTGTTGGAATAGAGCAACACAAATTGGGGGTGTATAAAGTCCAATATTTTTGCTTCACTCAGACTGAGTTCACATCTTGCCACTTTCCACTTTAGCTCCAGTTGTATGTTTTAGATGAATTCAATCTTTTCTTTTAGTGTCAAGTCTGTCACAAGCTGTGTCTCCCTTACAAATGTATGCAAAACTTTGTTGATATTCCACTAGTGTTGAAAAAACACAATTTCCCAATTGCTTTGTTTCCATTAAATAAGAAACACAATTAAAGTTACACAGGAATACATTTACTCATGCAATAAGTCATTTTAAAACATGCTGCGCCGTTGTCTTCCCACCCCTTCCTGTTGTCTTCTTTGTCTTTTCTGCCAGTAGTAACATCCGGTTGTTGATCACATGACTCGTGTGACGCAAAAAAAGTGCTTCCATTGTAGTTTTGAGAAATACACAAATTGTGATACAGCTGAAAAACGCGAGTTTATTCAAAATTGACATGTCCATTAAACAAATTTATTGTAATTAGCTCCACCCATCTACTTCTGGCCAGCTTCACTGTCCCTACTGAAGATTAGCATGGCCATATTATGATACGGCCACCAGTATGTTTTAGGTTTTGCTTTAGGGTACAGATGGTGTGTTCAGTACTCTTTCAACTAAACAGAGCATCTCCTGTCACATGTTCACTGCATCCTGTCGTTTGTGGCAAACTCCAATAGCTATGGCTTTCCACCAGCAACTTCTCCTGGTAAGAATCAGCACCTTCTTCTACGCTTCGCTCCGTCCAGAGAGTCTGGACCTTTGGCTATTCAGAAACGACTGCTTACTGGAGACCTGGACTCTGTTGAAATTTGAAATGATTGGATTTGTTTTTCAACAATCACTAACGTTTGACCACATGTACTATGTGAACTCAACCGTGAAGGAAACTACACTGTGAAACTGATAAAAGTGAACGACAACTTTGCCAGCAATAAAATGTCTTAAACATTTCTCTTGCTCCAACTTACATTTCTCAATAGTAGGGCAAACCCAGACTGAACATCTCTGTTCACTTCCCCTGCTGCCATTGCCAAACTACAGCTACAGGCAGAATACAATTCTAAAACAACACAGAAAATCAAAGTCATCGTTTATAACTTCTGTTTGCCGATTGGTCCACTTGAAATTCTACATTTAAATCGAGCTCAATGGGAGAAATCTCAGACGGAGCTTTGAAGGGAGATGAGAATGAAGTTAAAAGACAATGGGCAGGCTACCAGAAACAGCTTTCTTCTTGCCTCTCTTCCATATAATTGTCCATATAATAGTTTCTTCCACTTGAGCTGTGTGTCTCAGCAGCTCCTCCACAGTTACCAAGGGCCTCTTGGCTGCCTCTATGATATATGCCATCCTTTCCTGTCCTGTCAGTTTAATTAGATGAGAATGTCTTCTAACAATACATTGAAAATAAGAAAATGTTCAATTGATTGTCTTATTTTCAGAATATGGACTGATCAGACCTCTGGTGAGATGTTTTAAGCTTGGGATGTTGTATTGTAACATAAAACAATATCCCATCTGCTGTGATCCTTGGTCTTCATGATGCT